CTGCTCGGCTCAGAGCTCCACTCGTCCTGCTGCCCGGCTCTGCGCTCCGCTCGTCCTTCCTGCTCGGCTCGGCCAGCCAAGCCGAGCCCGAACCCCGCGACAACGACGTGCGGAAAGCGACGTTCAACAAAGACTTGGTGAAAGCGATAGGATGAAAGGGACAAGACCTAAGGACAGGTGACGTCCGCTAAACGACGAGCCTCGATTAGAGGGCCTTGACTTAGTGAATTGTACCGCCTATAAAAGGGGTGGCACCCCTCATTGTAATGGATCCCCGAGTTTGAAATCAATATACTCCTACTTTGCATTCTCTCTCTCTCTAAAACTTCTATTATTTCATACTCTCGGTGGTTTATAGCCATCATATACATAGATATATTTTATTAAAATTTGATATTTCAAAACTATGTTTTATTAAAAATATATTGGTATTAAATTTGTATCATGGTATAATCTATCTTTTCTACAAATCGGACTCAATGTTTATAAACTTTGACCAAGAAAAGTATAATTTCTTAAATACTTTACTACAACTCCATATAGTTCTTACTTCCTCCCAATTAAACAAATACAGTAACTTATTGGCATATTTTTAGTTGGCGTTAAAGTTTTGGATAAGTTTTTTAATGATACAGAATAATTTTGAAGAAACTAAAGCTATCCGCAGATAATTTTTTCAAAACACTAACACTAATCTCTATTGTTATTCACAAACATGCCCTAAATATAGTACTACTTGAGAGTCTGAATAATTATCAAAAGGTCAATATATATAAATACAAGGTCAAAATTGAAGCCTAATAATACACTAATATAGTAAAAGGATGGGAGTAAATCAATAGTAATATTCTTGACGATCATCGATAGGAATGGAGGTAGAATTGGGCAATCTCCTTCCTCGGATGAACGAGCTGAAGAGGTGCAGTGCTCTTCCTGGCTGTGCATACGGCACCATGTGCGCCGCCCCTCTCACCGTCGCAAACGTCAACAGATTCCCGTACTCCGTGTGCCACCCTCCCACCTGCAACACCGCCACCACCATCACCATCAAATCCTCGTTAACTACGTCATTCATTTCATCCCGTAGTTAACACTAGGATCATGCTAGGATGACACTGCATGGGTGCTACCATGAGTCCACTCATGCTTCGCACAGACAAACACAGACGATAATTGTCTCTGCGACACAGACAATTATCGTCTGTGTTTGTCTGTGCGAAGCATGGGTGCACCCATGTGGTGTCACCCTAGCATTTTCCTTAACACTATGCTACAAAAATCACCGTCATTTGTAACGGGTCGGTCATGCACATCCGTTACAAAGAGGTCTATAACGAATGACTCCATTACAAACAAGACCCCCCGTTACATTGTAGAGATTTTTTTTTGTAGCATGGGACAAATAAAAAAAATCAATCTTTTTATACCAAAATAGGATTTATAATGTCAATAATGTGAAATGCCAAATTGTGGAAGAGGAAGATTACTTGGCCTTTGTGGAACCATGCACCGTAGGGGACGGTGATGTTCATGTTCAGCTCGGCCGCTAGCTCCCGAACCACCGTTCTTGACCCCACCAATGGCACCACTGAATCTTGATCCCCACTGTATGTATATATGTATATGTATATATATAACTAAATATATGGGTAATTTATCTAAAGAGAACTAAAACATAATGACTTTCTCAATATACGAATATATGTTTTTATTTCCTAATGTAAGACCATTGGTCATTATCTATTAGTCATTATTCAACTAAATGTCCAATATCACTTGAACATTATTTTTCTCACTAGTCATTATTAAGTCCTATTTAAGGAATAAAAAAGTTTAAATCCTACGTTGGGAAATGACTTATGTTTTAGTCCTATTTAGTGCAAATTTTTCATATTAAAAACCCTTGAGCTAGCAAATGAAAAGCAAAGATGAAAGTGTAATAGTCCCTTCGGGATCTTCTCATTTGGCTTTTCACAGTATTCAATGTTAAACTTTGACCAATTATATCTACATTTATATATGAATATATTTTGAAATTATAATATTTGAAACTATGTTTAATCAAGAAACTATTGTTACTATATTTATATAGAAATACAATGTACTTTTTCCATATATCGAGTTGAAAATTTATAAACTTTGACTAAAAAAATTAAATGGGAAGATCATTTTCAGATGGAGCGAGTAATATATAAACCTGAATATCCATAGAGGGATTTGGTTGTGCAATATTTTTTTAAGTAAGGGAACCACATCCGCATCACCATCTATCTGGCTGTAGTTCAACATTGCACTGCATATCACAATATTTTAAAAAAAATCGTATCGTCAAAGTACGAATATATACAGTCACACACATTCTACTTTATTAAAAATCACGTGGACTAATATATATATATATATATATACTCACAAGTCAGCACAAGTCTGCCATGGATAGGGCAAACTGGTCCGATTTGCATGAAGAGCCTTCTGCACTTGTGGAAGGTTCAAATAGAAACTCCTTTCTTGTGTTATACACACATCCACTTCCATGCTCATCTTAGTTATCTACATGCAAAATATATTCAAATTGGTAACCTCTAAGTTAACAGTATACTCCTTCCGTCCCCATTTAGATTACAATATTTCCTTTTAGACAAAATTAAGGAAGAGTCAAATCAGTATTTTTTCCCCAAATTACCCCCCAAATAGTATACGAATGGGTGGGTGGGTGATATTTGACAATGAAATGATAAAGAGGAGGGAGAGTAAAAGAGTACATTTAGTGTAAAAGTAAACACTTCGTAATCCTTTTTGGGACAAAAATAAGAGGGAATATTGTAATCTAATTGGGGACGAAGGGAGTATATACTTCCTCCGTCCCAAAACGTTTGTCCCGTTTCGAAAAAATTGAGTTCCTTAAAAGCCGTCTCATTTCTATTAAAAAACCATTTTTACCCCTTACTTTTTTCATACCCTACTTATCACATCATGTCTTTTTCCTAATAATCTATCCATCACATCCTACTTTTATCCATCACATCAAGGATATTTTTGGAAAGTCAACACCAAAATATCCGTCTTTATTTTACCACTTTAGTCAAAATGTCCCAATCTTTTTAGGACGGAGGGAGTATATCTTTATACCATGTCAAAGACGGTGTACTCTTAAGTATATTGCGTGCGTACCACTTTGTGTAAAATGAGTTCTTGTTGAACGATGGAGGGGTAGCAGACGTCGAGAATGACGTCGTAAACGTTCACGTAGTTCGTCACGACACGGTACTGCTCGATGATCGCCGCGTTGCACGGACCGGATTCGTTGTGGGGGTAGATGAAGCTATAGTCGTCGAAGTCGCACTCCCTCTTGATGGCGTTATAGTTTTCGTCCGAAATCAACCCGTGGGACCAGAAAAACTCCGTCACCGCCGGCACATCTCTCTCAAGCTTCACCAGCGGATTTCCCAGCTGTTGAAGCGATTTCGAAATAATATTATTATTATTGTTACTATTTCGAAGGGAAAAAAACATATATCGTCACGATTATCAGGAACGTCGTCACAAACTACACGTACCGCTACACCTTTGATTTGAAATTTGTGCCCCTTGATGAGGTTTTCGTTGTGGTCTATCATAAGACTTGCTAATTGGGGAATGTAATGTCCTAAAAGACAGACAAGTAATTTGAATATTTTTAGATAATACACAGGAAAATATGAATATTATTTCACAAGAATAATATTGAGAGTAGCTAGCCAAGTTAACCTGCATAGCTTTCCCCGGTGAGGAACAAGGGATTGTCAAGAAACTCTGGGAATTTTTCATACCATTTTTGCATGAATGTTAGCATATCATGAGCTGCTACATCCATCACATGCAATAACAATTGACCAATTAAAACCAAATTAAATAATTGCCATAACAAAGTTAATTACTTATAAAAATGTTTTTTTTAAAAAAAGTGTGGAATCGATCGAGTACGTGCCTGTGCTGTCATCCCCACAATTAGAATAATCAGTGCTTGTATTTGAGTATGACCATCCTACCCCTGCCGGTGCCTCAACAAATAGAAGGTTCGATGCTGCAATTTGTACGTCAAAAAAAAGGTTAGGAGAATTTGAATTTTAGTTAATTTTTTTAAACTTTCAGTACAACTTAATTTTTTAAAAAAGTATATTTAGTCAATCCATATATCAAATTTGTATAACATTTATTTATTTATTGGTCAAAGTATATTTTAAATTGGCCAAGAAACTCAAATTTAAGGTTTTTTTTAGGAGAAAGAGAGTATTTTACAATTTTAGTATGTCATGAACCAATTGAAGTTCAAACTTATTCTTGTAGCTAAAAGAAAATTTTCATATTTTAACACACAGGATCGCTTTGAATATTGCATGTGAAACCTGAATGTTTATTTAAAACTCAGTGCGTTGAGTTTTGAACACGAGACAGAATATGAATTAACGCTTGACTTTTTTTATATGGTCGAATTAAAAGAAAAAGGAAAAAAAGGGAAAACCTTTGTTCCACGATTTGGAGTTAATTCGAAGACCATGGCCGTCGCCTGACGGAAAAAAGGGACCCAGCTCCGTAAAGGCGCCGCCGCCGATGGAGGAACATCCCGGACCTGCACAAATTGATAATTGTTCAATTTTTACTCATAATGCACACTTAACTTTTATCCTTATACTTCGTACCTAAAAAACAATTTTTACACAAAATGTTGCATTTTTTGGAAGAAAGACAATAAAATTTGACTAATTTACTCTTATTACGGAGTAATTCTTACCTTACATATCATATTATATTTTATTACTAAAATATATCCATCACATTAAAAATAATTTGAGAAAGTTAATACAAAAATAGTCCTATCTTAAATCACACAGAAACCAAAATGAGAATGACTTTCAGCGACATAAATATATTTGAGAAGATGTTATTAATTAAACATTTAACTCCAATAACGGACCGGCACAAGTGGATTGAGTTAATATTTCCTCCATGCCATAAAAATATTCTCATTTTGACTTTTACACTATGTTTGGTTTAAGAAATTTAGAAGAAAAGAAAAGAAACATGTTTTCCCTCATTTTCCTCGTCAAAATGGGATGAATTTGGTTTTCTTTTTTCTTAGTACATTTTGCCTTCTCATTTTCTTTTCATTCCACTTTTCTTTTCCTCTCTAACCAAACAAAAAAATGTTTTCCCTCTCATTTTCTTTTCCTTTCCCTCTCAAATTCCTTGAACCAAACATAGTGTTAGGAAATTTAGGAAAGAAATATTTTTTTGTTGATTTTTCAAAAAATACCTTTGATGTGATATGTAAAATTACGATCTAATAAGTAGATAGTTAGTAAAAGTGTTTGATGTGATATGTAGATTAGGAAATCGTAAGAATAAAAGTGGTTTTTTGATACAAAATGAAAGGATTTTGTGAGCCAAAAAAAGAAAGAAAAGGGAGTTTTCAGGACGGAAGAAGTATGAGTTGGGGGCCAATGACCTGAACTAATTTTTTATGAGTAATGCTAGAGTCACAAACAAACAATTCACAAAATTTTCTTTTTATTATTTTACTAGAAATAAGATACACTAAAATAATAAAAGGTATTTTAATTTAAAATCTACAAATGGCTAGTTTGTGAAGTTTGTGGACTAGCAATTTTTTTGTGACTCGAGCATTTTCGTTTTTAAAATAAGGTAAATATTTTTAAATTTTTTATTTTATGTGTATGTCCCCAAATAAAATTCAGGGAACCACATGATATTAGGCCAATTTTTTTTATTTTATGCTTACTTTTTTTAATTAGTGAAGTATATTTCATTACATATAATTAATTATGAATAAACTTTACATTACCTATTGAAAATTTAATTGTTGTTTCAAATACAATTCATCATTTTTTATTATTTCACGACCTCACCTAGTGGCATAAAGTTTTGTTGGTGATGTTGTTTTGTATTTTTTATCATTTCATATTACTTTGGGTACCTATTAACAGAAGAAAAATTTACCTAAATAGTACTAAAACTTTGTTACATTCACAATGTAGTGTCATATATTTTTATTCCCAATGTACTATCACTGGTCATTTTCCACTAGTCATCGTTCAAATAAATGTCCACCGCTACTGGACAATATTCAAACTAAATGTCCACCACCACTAGACATTATTCCCGCCACTAAACAATATTTATGTACGAAAAACTTTACGTACTACATTAAAATATGACATATATTTTAGTGCTATTTAATGTAAATTTTATTTAAAAAATATTCGGGAGCGCTGTCTTAACTAGTCCCGCTCAATGGTGCTTCCAACTATTCGAATTCCTCGCCTCCACTACGGAACAAATAGTATCTAGAATAACCGACTAACAATGGAAAGAAATCAAACGTATCGAGCATCCAAACTTTTCTCTTGTAATTCATCGATGCAGCCAAAAGTCTATATTTCAAAATCTTTGACCGCCAAAATAAATAATGCGGAATAACAAAGTAAAAAAAAACCAAATTAAATAGCATTATTATGTGGGGAAAAATCAACTTGTGGGATGCAATTGAATAGGGTAGGTGGGTGTGTTCAGGTCGGGGCGGAGTGAGGGGTTTACTGGGAGTTAAGAGGGTAGAAACCGTCAATTTTACGAACGGGACACCCGAGCGCCCCCGGATCATACCATGACATCGGTTCCCAATGTCATGGGAACCTTGGTGTATTATGTGACATGAAATCATAAAAGATACTCCTTCCATAATCTTCCCGGTTCGCAAAACGAAGAAAAATCCCAAGTTTTTTCAATCTATTTTATTTAAATATTGGTATAGAAATAAAAAATAAAACATACATATTTAAAAACTACACCAAAAGTTCAACAAAACAAGTGGTGACAAGAATATTTTATTTTATCATATAGGCCATGAAAAAACATAAATAAATATAAATTCCCGTGAAGTTGGAATAGTGCTCTGACAAAATCATTATAGGACGGAGGGTGTATTGATTATCACTGTATCGCATATCTTCATTTCATTTCAATTTACAGATGTAACCCTCAACAATAACGGACGTCATATAATTATTATTGCAGTAAATCGTTATGTTTAATTATTGTGTAATAATTCAGACCCCTTTCCTCCCATTTCATTATTTAAGTGTAGGTATTCATTAAATTTTAAAGGTTTTTATTTTTTCTTAAGCAAATATACAAATTTTTAAAGTAATAACGCAGTTAAGATCATATTATAAAAAATTCTGCAAAAATAAGTGATCTAGAAGAATATTTTACGATTATAAATGATTAAAATAAATAAACTATCATGAATGTCAAACAACCAATTCAACCAAAAGCTCAAGCTTGTGGTTGTGGCCCAAGAACAGTTATTTATTTATATTCTAACACGCCACTCACGTGCATGCGTAGTTTTTATTTTAGCCTTGCACGTGAAATCTTAAATTTTTTTAAAACTTGGTGGTACTGAGTTTTGAACACGTGACCTCTTAGTCAACGAGGCTTCGATATCATGTTAAAGAATCAATTCAATCAAAAGTTCAAGCTTGTGATTGTGGCCCAAGAACAGTTATTGATATTCTAACCATGAATGAAATTTCTTCGGGAATGGGATTGAAGAGTAATGTAAATTACACATTTTTTACTTCATACTTGAAATAAATTAATAAGAGATAGAATTGTAACGCATTGAGTTTATGACATTGGGTTTGGCTGGACGTTGAATGGAAGAATCATTACCGCCGGTTACGTTCAAAAATACCCCACAATTGATGAAAATTTGTATATAAATAGGAGAAATTTTATTCTGATTTCAGTTTTCATAGTTTTTAATCCAATACTTTTGGTCATTAATATATTTATAAAAACATCAAGGTTCCCATGATATTGGAATCCATTGTCACCCGGGGGCGCTCCGGTGCTCCGTTCGTAAAATTGACGGTTCCTATCCCCCTTAACCCTCCCGGTAAACCCCCCACCCAGCCTCGACCCGAACATATCCCCTACCCCCGTCAATTGCACCCCACAAGTTGATTTTGACTCCAAAGTCAAAATCCCCACCTTGCCCCTCAACCCCCCCTCCCCAATAATAAAATAAATAAAAAAAATAAAATCATGGTAATTTAGGGAGTACTAACCTCCATTCAGCCAAAGAGTGAGGGGAAGATTATGGGCATCCTTCCGATCAGCTTCCACGAAGTAGTAAAACAAACTCCGGCCGGCCCTCTCGTCGGTATCTACGTAGCCGGCGTATTGCAGGAAAGTTACTTCCGGCTGCCCGGGCAGTCCCACCACCAAATCTTCTTCAGGGTAGCCGTAAACCACCCCGCCGGCAACGAAGAAGAGCAAAGAAAGAAACGTCCGACAACAGCAACCGCGAACACGCCCCATGTTGTATAAAGCGCCGCCGGGAAGTCAAATGATTAGCAATAAGGGCAAAGCTTAATTTTTAACTTTTTTTGGAAACTGGCAAAGCTTAATTAATTCGCCATATATCCCTACATATATATAATCTCTCTCACAGTCTCACTCACAAACAAGTGTACTATATATATATATATATATATATATATATATATATATATATATATATATATATATATATATATATATATATATATATATATATATAGAGTGATTAGTCAAAAGTCAAAACAAATGGCCATGCATGCACATAAAAAGGGCAATCTTTGGTCAGCTTTATTAAAGTGCAAATAACAATTATTCCATAAGTAAAAAATATATTCCATAAGTAATAATCTTTGTCCTAATTTAACTCATACCTTAAAAAAATCTTTTATAATTGCTCTACTCACTCGGTCTTAGAGTCTTCCTCAACTTGACTCTTCAATCAAATTTGATGAAATTTATTAAATACATATATTTTAATTAAAAATAAAAAACATATTACTCCCTATGTCCCGTTTTAAATGACCTATGACCTATTTGTCTTTTTTCCCCGTTTCAAAATAAGTTGCTTGTTACTTGTTATCAGAAACTTTTAAAAGTAAAATACCTAAAGTACTCCTAAAATAAGTCACTCTTTTCTACCTTATCTTTTCATTCATTGTTACCCCTATTAAAAAGTAATGACAATTTTGAAAAATCAACTCTATTTTTAATCTTCCTTAAATATGTCCAAAAGTTAAAACAGACGATTTAAAACAGAACGGATGGGGTACATATTAATATGATGAAATAATTTTTTGAGATTTTCTAACAAAATAGATTTAATTAAATTGATTTTGATGTATATATTCACCCCACTTTTTTTGTAAGAGGAATCAACTATGCTAGAGGTACCTTAAGAAATGTACTCTAAGGCTTTGTTTGGTAATAACGTTTTCGATTAGCATTAACGTTTTGGATAAAATTTTAATGGTGCAGATTAATTCTGATAACGCTAAAGCTAAAGGCTACCGTCGGATAGCTTTTTCAAAACGCTAACGCTAATCTCTAACGCTGATGCCAAACGGGGCCTAAGTTGTACTCCAAAGAGATTTAACGTCATTTTCACGATTCATACTGACATAAAATATTAGTGTAATAAAAAAAATTATACTTATATTTTGTGTCATTGTAAACCATAAAATGTTAGTACATGCTTTTGAGGTACAAAATATGGTACAATTTTTATAGTACAAATAGCTTATTTTGTGTCAAGTACGCACGGGATTATTTAAAAAGAAAAGGAAAGTCAAAGGTAAATTGTTTTTGTCGGTCTAATGTGTGACTTGAAAAAATGTGGACTGAATAGACATGTACAAATTATTACTCCGAATTACGGAGTACTTAACATTTGGACCTGCGTTACATACATATTAATATCACGACTATGGTTGATCATTAAATTTTTTTTTTGAGTGCATTAAAGTTTATTTGATACCCACCTCATTTGCTAATATAGTCAGACGGCCCAACATTTTAAAGAGCTGTTGAGACAAATTAAGGCAGGATCAAATTGATGGTTTTTACGCCTTAATTTTTAGAATAAATTTTTCTCACCGCTCATCGATCCCTAATAGACTCTGCACACCCTCCAATGGTATTCTTCAACATTTGTTTAGATTTAGGTTATACCGGTATACTCTCTCCGTCCCAATTTATATTGTCTGTTTCACTTACAATGATTGAAATTATTTTTAAATCATTTTATATGAAAAAATGGTCTAGAATTAAAAAAATAAAAATCACATTTTAAAAAATACTATATCAAAAAATCTACAAAACTAGGTTTTATTTTATCAAATGACTACTGAAAAAAGAAAGAAACCGAATCAAGTTTAACCCAGTAAATAGTACACATAATTTAATTTGAGACGAAATGAGTAATTTAACTTCAAAATCAACAAAGTCTGGAATTTGGACAGTTCATTTGGAAGAGGTGCATGGTGCTCTAAAAACAAGCCAAATCGGAAGTTAAAGGGGTAGGTATCATCAATTTTTTAAATAAATGTCGTTTCAATGTCAAAAACCTCGGCAATTAATGTTTGATCTAATCGTTTTGACATCAAAAACTAGTGTCGTAATATGACATTCTCCCAATTTCAAGCTCTACCAGCGTAAGACTACCAATTCTAAGTCTTACATTGGTAGAAAATGAAGAAAGCAAAGACCAAATAAAGCCAGACTGGGTTAGCCCTTGTCGCAAGACTGCAAAGTCCCAATGTGTCATCCAAACTGCAAAATCACACAATGTGTTAATGGGACATGTTACTGCAAAGCTTGCTAAGAAAAGACCGAGAAAAATATATGAGCTTTACTCAAGTAGTCAATCCATAAGAAATACTCCCTCCGTCCCTAAATAAAGTTCCTCTTTCGTTTTTTCTTTGTCCCTAAATAAACTTTTTTTTTCCCTTAAAAAACTCCTTTTACCCCTTACTTTTTCATACCCTACCTATCACATCATACCTTTTTACTAATAATCTACCTATCACATCTTACTTTAACACATCACATCAAGGGTATTTTTGGAAAGTCAACACCAAAATATTCCTCACTTAAATCCTCAAAAAGTCAAAAATGGAACTTTATTTAGGGACGGAGGGAGTAAAATATTGAAACTTAAGAAACCTTTCTCATGAGAGAGTAATTTAACTTTTTCTTCCGGATCTAAAGCTTGCATTTTTGCTGCATTTTGCTTCCCATGACTTTGCATGCATGGTTGATATAACAACTTCAAGATGTTGCGAAAACCCATTTTCTGTTGTATCTTCACATACTTAACGACCACGAATCCAAAAGGATTATTCAAATTTTCAAAATTGATTCAAAATAGACACATACTGAGTACAAGAGAAAATAGCTTGAGAATAAACTAGACAGATTTGGAAGTACTCCTTATCTCTTTGTAACGGTGAAAAATGAGAAAGGCTAAATTTCAACTACAAAAATTTCTCAAATAGACTTTAAAGTCACGTTAGCATTGCATGGTTGGTCCATCCGTTAATTTTGTCGTTAATCCGTGCACTTTTTTGCATTTTCTATTTTAAATATACGTGAGTAACCATATCTTCTTCATACAAGTGAACTACATTTAATATAGGCCCATTAAATAATAATAAGTATTACCTCCGTCCCAATTTATAACACCTGTTTCGGTTTACGATGTTTGACTGAAATTATTTTCAAACCATTTTATATGACAAATGGTATAGAATTAAAAAATAAAAATTACATATCAAAAAACTACATCAAAAGATCTACAAAACTAGTAGTGACAATAATATTTTATTTTATCAAATTGCTAACGAAAATAGAGAAAGAAAGTGAATGAAGTTTGACTTTGTGAATAGTAAACAGGCATTATAATTTGGGACGGAGGGAGTAACTTTTACTTTTTTAGTATAAATTATTTAATAATAACAAGCTACTCTTACTTTTATTACTCCATGTTTTTTAAAAAATACTAACTCCATCTTAAAGTATTTATCAAAGTTTGACTTTTTAAAGTCAACCACAGCTAATTTTTGACCTTTAATTTCAATTAAGACAGATCTACATGAAGCACGACTCAATTGTGTAAAAAAGTGAGCGCTACTCACATGTATTTATAATGGAAAATGAAAACAGTGCATGAACTAATGACAAAACTAACGGAATGACCATTCATGCAACGCAAATGTGACTTGAATGACTATTCGTGTAATTTTTGAAGTTGAAGGAATAACCATGATACAAGAACCTGAAAGATTAACAGTACAATTTAGCCAAAAAAAAGTTATATTCCAAGTTACATCATTCATATCTCTGAACAAGATTATGTTTTTGGAAAGCCTATCACATCTAGGATTGTGAGATAATAACTCATTGGAGATGATCCTAAAATTTCACAATAATCCAAAATTGTTTTGTATAAAATCATAGAACTCGTAGTTTAACATTTTTAAGCTTATATGCTTAGTATTATATTACTCCCTCCGTCCCCCAATTTTTGTCCACTTTCATTTTTACATACCATCCAATGCATTTCTTTAATCCATTTTATCTTGTAATTTGTATTTTAAAAAATTATAGAAATTATATATTAATAATCTATATGTTAAGACAAATCAAACAAGATCACACATGACTATATTTAGGCTTACACATTGAGATAATGTGATGAGTCAAAGTGCTTAGATGAATAGTTTCAAAAGTCAAAAGTGGACAAAAACTGGGGGACGGAGGGAGTAACGTTATGTTTAAAACAACATTGGATTTTTGTGAAATTTTAGGATGACAATCCATGGAATAGTAATTTCTAGTCCTATGATGAGTTTCACACAAAAATACTACAATTGAAAGATATCATTATTGTAAAAATTGATGTAAAAAATATTCCATTATTGTAAAATTTTCCATAATGTTATTCCCTTTGTTCATCGAACGTGTCCTAGTCGTATTTTTTCCAGGATCTACCAATGCCAATATGATAAGGATCAAATATTTGCATTAAAAATACTTACACTCCCTCCGTTTCTCAAAACCCTTCTTTCGTTTTTTTCGTTTTTTTTAAAACACTTCCTCTTTCACTTTTTTTCCAAAGCTACCCCTAAACCTAATTTTACCCAATCCTCTATCCCACCTTATCCAACCCCTTCGTTCCCTTGGCGATTCATCTCCTCTCCTCACCTTTCTTTTTTCAGAACCGGATCAGCTTCATGTCTGCTTCCTCTTCTCCAGATCTGACCATGCCCTCATTTCGCTTGCTCTCTGATAGCGATGAGGACCAATCTAAGCCTCATCGTACTCACAAATCTTTGAGCAAGCGCAAACGATCCTTAGCTGCCTTGAAACGTCATGTTGATCCGCTTCCATCAAGTTCATCTGACACTGATCCTTCGTGAAATTTCCGGAAAAAATACCTAGGGGGTGAGCATCTTCCTGATGGAATTGAGTGGGAATCAGATCTGGAAGAAGATTCATCAGATCTTGAGTCTTCACTCAACACTGATGATATTCGAGAAATGAGCTCGGAAACAGAGGTGTTGTTGTCCGAGCCAGTCGGAAGTCCCTCCAAAATTGAAAGATATAAACAGAGTAATGTCCTTTAATCTTCTCTCCTTTACACTTTGCGCATCTGTCTGCATGTTATTTTTGGGCAAACTAATGATGCAAAAATAATTAATCTTAACGTCAATGAAAGTTGCCTAATTGTAACGCCACCCCATTTTTGGTTTGGAGGCTTACAAAGGTCAATTATGGCTAGATGTTTGGTCAGGCATTAGTGAATGTGTATGTGAAATTTCTTCTGCGTGGTGAAGATTATGTTTCCCTCTTTTGTTATGGTTGTCGTGTGAAATGCAAAGCTAGAAATTGGGTTTCTTATTTTGGTTTCCTATGTGGTTCTCTAAGGCAGTTTATCCCTAAATGACCTGTGTGCCTTTCTTTGCTGCCTTTGCTCCCTATGATGGATTAGAAATGTGTTCTACCCTATGTGTTCCTTGTGGCAGTTTGTCCCTAAGCTTTCATGTCCCTCTTTTTACTGCATATGATGGCTTCTGAATGTGTGGTACCCTATGTGATCTCTGAGGCTGTTTGTCCCTAAATGACCTATGTGCCTTTCTTTGCTGCCTATGATGGATTAGAAATGTGTTCTACCCTATGTGTTCCCTGAAGCAGTTTGTCCCTAAGCTTTCATGTCCCTCTCTTTATTGCCTATGATGGATTCTGAATGTGTGGTACCCTATGTGATCTTTGAGGCAGTTTGTCCCTAAATGACCTGTGTGCCTTTCTTTGCTGCCTATGATGGATTAGACTACCCTATGTGTTCCCTGAGGCAGTTTGTCCCTAAGCTTTCATGTCTCTCTCTTTACTGCCTATGATGGATTCTGAATGTGTGGTACCCTATGTGATCTCTGAGACAGTTTGAGGTCCATTACTTTACTGCATAAGATGGCTTTTGAATGTGTGGTGTTATATCTAAGGCATTGTGTTCTCTCTTTACTGCCTATGATGAAATCAGAATGCCTGGTACCCTATGTGATCTCTGAGGCAGTTTGTCCCATTAGTTTGAGGTCCCTTTCTAATGCAGTCTGTCCCTAACCAGTTCTGTGAATATACTGAAGGTTTTATGCAAAAAAGACTTTTTATAGTCATATAATGATGGTTTTACATATCACATATTGTACTACATCATCACAAGCTTCTTACATGTGGTGTACACTTGCACCAAAAGCCAAGGTGACAGCAGTTATGAGATCCCCCAATGACCCGTGTGCACTCTTGTTTTGTATAGCATCTATTGCCCTAAAGAAGCCAAGGCCAAGAACATTTAAATCTGGGCTATTGGGGGGGCTGAAATTGCAACCTAATATCCCAATCACTCTCTTGTGCAGCAGTCACAATAACTGGGTCATTAATATCAACATGTGGTTTGGCATTATCTTGTTGTATGACAACATACTTAGAACTCTGTGGCCATTTTTCCCTTATTGCTGGCAGTAGTTGCTGTACTAACGTTTCTCTCATGACATCTCTTGTTATTTTTGGAATGGGCTTTGTTTCCATTGTATCAGCAGGCCTATTTTTGCTTGTTCTTTTTGCAGCTTCTTGAAATGTGAAGGGGAATATGCCTATTTTCCCATCCCACAGTACCTGACCATCATCCCCAAACCTAGGACGACCTACAGTAGCCAAAAACATAATTTTGGGAATATGTGTTTTGGACTGTATGGTTCGGTAGGGGTCTGCCTCATCAGGTAAGGAGTAGAAGGTCTTTTTAGGCTTGCTCAACTCAAACCACTTCTCATCAATATGTATATAATCATAACAATGATGGAATGTTGGGTTATTTGGTAGGGATGTGGGAGAAAGTAATGACAAACAATACCTCACCCTTTTTAACTTACCTTCATCACATAGATGAGGTTTAATAGCATTGGAGTGTCTTCTGATTTTTTTCTTCTTCACCAACCTATATGNGTAGAAGGTCTTTTTAGGCTTGCTCAACTCAAACCACTTCTCATCAATATGTATATAATCATAACAATGATGGAATGTTGGGTTATTTGGTAGGGATGTGGGAGAAAGTAATGACAAACAATACCTCACCCTTTTTAACTTACCTTCATCACATAGATGAGGTTTAATAGCATTGGAGTGTCTTCTGATTTTTTTCTTCTTCACCAACCTATATGTTGTACTAGTTGACACATTAAGGCAGTGGCTTAGGGCACGTAGCGTTTGCCGCTGGTGAAATGGAATGTCAGTCAGGTTTGAAATGTCCAAATTGAAACCTTTTTGCCCCGAGTTACCTTCCCACCTGCAATCCACATTCACTACCTCGCCCCTAGCCATTTGAGATTTTGCAGCTTTCCATAGCTCTCTGACCCAACGAGGAGATATGTTGAATTCATTAGCCACTGTTTTCAGTGACCCGTGCTGAAGTTTGCCGTTTTTGAAATTTTGTAGTATTGCCTTTATTATTCGCTGCCTTCTTTCGTTTCTTGCTTGCGCACCGGAAATACATGCGATGTTGTTTATTTCAGGGGTGTTGAAAGCCTCGAAAGGTACTTTCAACAGTGGAGGCAGGGAGACATCCGCTACATCGGCTGAGTCGGCGTTGGCATCTCCAAAACGAGAGGAAGTTGGAAGAGGTGACGGTTCCATCAATGCTATTTGAAGCCAGAGAGATTACATGGAGCATTTATTTTCATTCAAGACATGTTTAGGGAGAGATGAATGCATTTAATGCTTTGGTGTATTTATATTGAGAAGTGGTAGTATTAGATTGAAATATTTGGAGGGCTTTTTAATTTTTTTCCCAAACAAAAAATTTGTAATCTTTCCCTCTTTTGTTGTGGTTGCCGTGTGAAGTGCACAGGGTTTTGGTGGAGTCCACTATTCATGACAAGTTACTCATTATTAGCCTCATTATTTTATTCTCACATTTGCCCACTTTTGTTATGTACCCCACGTGAGTAAGAGGGTAATATGGGAAGGTCTTTGCCAAAATATGGGTTCCTTATTTTAGCTAAAAGTCAAAAGGGGAACCCTTTTCTGAAACGGAGGGAGTATTACTTAAACATATAAAGATATAAACATTAACAAATCTTGCACTTTGAAACACATTTTTTAATTTTTTATCACTTTTTTCAAACTCTCTAATGTCAAATTGTTGAGATTAATTTGGAATGGAAAATGAATATTTTAAAAACATATTTATAACAAGTTTAGGATAGAAAACAAAATGGACTGAATAAAGTATTATTTTAAGGGTATTAGATATTACAATGAATTTAATATACCCACACACATTAATTGTCGCAATATTACACATTGGCACCCGAATGTCCCAACATACCTTTTACACAAATGTTTAGGGGTATTTCTCTATGTTGATGCTTATTGGCTTATTGATAATAATTAAATTTTAACTTATAAGCTACTTAAAAGCTAAGGCTGTGTTCTGTTCAACTTATTTTTTCTGCTTATTACTTATTTTTATTAAAATCAAATCAGATAAGATCTAATCATATAGATTAGATCCAATCAGAAGAAGAGATCAAAACAAAATTAAATTATTATTATTATTACTATTACTATTATTATTATTACTACTACTATTACTACTAATTACTATTATTATTACGATTAAAATTATGATCACTATTGTTGTTATTATTACTATTATTAATATTATTATATTTACTATCATTATTACTATTATTATAATAATTATAATACTCCCTCCGTCCCATTTGCCCAAGTTTTGTATATTGAAATGTTACGAGTATTTTTTAATGTTTGTATATCTTTCTATTACACTTAATTTGAAGATTTACTTTGGATGCTTGTATAAAGCTTTCGAATTGTTTTTTTCATGGTTTACATAATGCAAATTTAATGTTTGCGTTTTGTAAAAATTTTGGACTCGGACATCCCGAACCGTTCTACATTGTCCTAGTCTCAAATGAATGAGAAAATGTCGTGTCCCGACTCATTCCAACAAACTAGGAGTGGGAGCGCCAGAAAGGGACGACTTAAATACCAACCCGTCCCGGTCCGTGCCCACCCTTACCTGTGAGTGCCCGTGTAAATGGGAGGGCATAAACTTGAGGATAGAATAGCATATTATTTTATAAAAATATTAATGTGCACATTATGTATATATGCATGAAATGATCACTTAATGAATGATGATTGCAGGCATGCTACCATCAGATCGAGGCAGGGACCGAAGGAAGCACCTGCTCAGCCGATTCAGATTGCAGAAGTGTTATTTGCGTTGAAGGAAAGGTCCGTTGCATCAAGAAACATTGTCTGTGCAATAAAGCCAGACTGGGTTAGCCCTTGTCGGAACGATGATGACTGCAAAGTCCCAATGTGTCCTCCAAACTGCAAAATCACACAATGTGTTAATGGGACATGCTACTGCAAATCTTGCTAAGAAAAGACCAAGAAATATATAAGCTTTACTCATGTAGTCAATCAATAAGAAATAAAATATTGAAATCTAAGTAATATTTCTCTTCTGGATCTAAAGCTTGCATTTTTGCATCATTTCGCTTCTCATAACTTTGCATGGTTGAGAAGCTTCTCATATATCATAGCTTGGTTATATTTATTCTAGTGACTGAAATTATAACCAAGCTTCTCAAGATGTTGCGAAACCCCATTTTCTGTTGTAGCTTCTCATATATCATAGCTTGGTTATATCTATTCTAGTGTCTGAATCATTTTTAACCAAACCATCTCCATAAGATATGCATAAAGAGAACACACAGAAAGTGAATAAACATAAAAGAAGAGTGAGCAGGCATGCACAACAGGGTAAGACAAGAAAAGAAAAAAGATGAGATTATTGACTGAGTGAACCAATTTGTCCAGGTAATATATGATGTGTTTCTTTTAGAGAATTTGCATCCACAGTTATGAAAAGGACTCAAATATAACAAAAGCACCCTTCTTTTTATTTGTACACTTCCCCATCTTAGCTTCCCAATTCTTGTAGGATAAATTATCTTTTTCTCTATAAAATGCTCCAACGAATCATGTTTGGCACTACTTCATATCTTTCTCCAAGGAACAACTTTTGTAGTGTTGCATTATATCCTTTATGACAGCTGCTTTTTTACTATTATCACAATATCCTATACAAATGGTTGGAAATTTAGGCTATATATGTGAAATCTAGCCTAAGCTAATCTATAGAAACACTATTGAATTGTTGGAACATTACGTGTTGCTTGTGACCTTTAGGTTTGTAGGGTGCTCTCTCATAATATTGGCATACTTAAATTAGTGGCGAACACATGGGCTACTCAATTCGATGATCTATTAACAAAACAAAGATCTAATGAACAGAAATTTTTTGCAAACCAATGTTTCCAGTCGATGATTCAAACAATCCTAATCCAAAATAATGAGAAAGATCAAATGAACAGAAATTTGTTGTCATCTGATACTAACAATCACAGAATCAAACAATCCATATTGAAAATAACTTCATCATGTGCATACTAACCTCTCATCCAACTTAGTGCCACTTATACTCCCTCCAATACTTATCTTTCAGCCATCAAGGGATTAATTCGCAAGCCAGAGATTTGGTGCAGTATCACCTCAAGTAGACCAAGGCAACTTCAGCAAGAAGACAGCCTCATGCACTCTTGGAAAACTGAGCTAAAGAGTCATCCTAATCGTCTTTGGGACAACAACATAAACCCAGTAAAATCCCAAAAGAGATAGGGTCTGGGAAGGGTACGTACACAGACCTCACCCCTACTCGGAAGTAGAGAGGCTGTTTCCAAGTGACCCTCGGCTAAAAAACGAAAGCACAAACAAAAAATCCCTGAGGTGTTTCATATCCATCTTTTAACCAATCTCATGAATATAGTCCAAGTTTAAATGTTGGTCCCAATCAGAAACAAACCCCAAACGAGAGTCTCCTACATTGATAGGAAAAGATGCATCCATGTTGCATTTCTTGACAATACCTTCTGGTTTGGGCCATTAATGTGGTTCCTTGTGCGGCAATCCATGCACTTACAGATTTAGTGAATGATGAATGACTATGTTTACCCACAAGAATTTATGTGACAAGATGAATTTATTTCAGAAGTTAATTTTTCCATAAAAGAATAGAATTAAAATACTCAAAAGTACCTGTCGACCCTTAAAAACTTTTCTTGAACATTCACATAGAAGAGAGAATCGAAAAGATACATATGTGCTAATAGGGCATCATTTGGGCATTGCACCCAAAGTGTATAACATAAACTTGATTATACCTCTCCGCATTATCTTTTAGAAAACTAAGAACTTCTTACCTAACTAACTTAGAGATCCAATGAGGAAGAAACGTTAATATGGACACAATCCTGTACACTGCCAACAAAGGATGTCACTGAATCATTCTATCATTTCCCAGGTTCATTATATACCTTATGATGAGCATCATGCACACTGATGTTCCAACTCCTTTTTAGGATCAGCATGCCTCTTGGAGTATTTTATTATGTACCGTACGTCTATATTGCTGTTATCTTTCTGCAAGTTAGCCTTGTCTATGTACATCTTTGAGTATCCCAACGAGTAACGATCCTCCTCATTGCAGCTCTCATGCTGTGATGTAACCTTATCACACTTCGCCAGACATGGACCCATTGCTTCACTCAAAGGCAACTCATGAGACAAAGCATCACCATGCATGCCTGTTTCATGATCTAACTTTGCAGGTCTTGTTTTGCATTCTGATAAAGGACCAGTGTGCCTCCTTGAGTAACTTTCTAAGTACGCTGCATCCATATTGATGTTATCTTTCTGCAAATTAACCTTTCCTGTGCGCCTCTTGAAGTATTTCACAGAGTAACGGCCCTCCTCATTGCAGCTCTCAGTCTGTGAGGTAACCTTGTCATCACATTTCACCTGGTATGGATCAATTACTTCATTCAAAGGCAACTCATGAGACATAGAATCACCACGCATGTCCGTTTCATGATCTAAATTCAAAGATCTGATCTTGGATGCTGGTAAAGGACTAGTGTGCCTCTTGGAGTATTTGATCAAGTACCGTACGTCTGTATCGCTGGTATCGTTCTGCAAATTAGGATTGTTTACATGCCTCTTGGAGTATTTGAAGGAGTAACAACCTTCCTTTCCATTGCAGCTCTCATACTGTGAGGTAACCATATCATCACACTTCACCTGGCAATGATCTATTACTTCTTGCAATGGATCCATTACTTCATTCAAAGGCAACTCATGAGACAAAGCATCACCATGCATGCCAGTTTCATTATCTAACTTTACAGCTATGGTTTTGGGTGCTGGTAAAAGACCTGTATGCCTCTTGGAGTATTTCAATGAGTAGCGGTCCTTACTACTATTGCAGCTCTTGTTCTGCAGAGTAACCTTTCCATCACACTTCACTTCATGCAGAGACAAGCCTTGCGTCAAAGTATCACCATGCATGCTAGTTTCATGATGTGCCACTGGTTTTGAAACTCTACACCGTCTAGAGTATTTACACATGTAAAGGTCCTCCTTCGTGTTGCCCCTCTCAGTTTCCACGGTAACATCTTGATCACATTTGTCTCGGGATGGAATGCTAACTTGACAGGGAAGTGACTGCTGGAGAAAATCACCTTGCTGAATAGACTGTGATTCTGAAATCACTCTAGTGTCATTGCCAAAATTGCACCTTTCATCAACACTGAAGAATACATTATTTGTTTCATTTACATGGAGTGCTTTCCTCTTCAGTCTAGTCCGCATGTAGGTTCTTAATTTATTTCCATTCTTACTCAAACCAAAAGAACTGACCTCTTTGTCCCTAACACAAACAGAGCCTTCCGAAATCCTCAAATCACATCTTTCTCGTAGTCTAGTTCTTTTGTAGACCACAATCTCCCCGCCTTCATTGCACTTGAAAGTATTTCCATATTCCATTGTTTCACTGACTACATTGAAGCACTCCCTGACATTTGGAATGGGGATGTTGTTTTTGTTTTCCAAGTGTGAACTTTTTGATATATGAGGAGATGCATTTTTACAAAAATGAAATTCAAAACCCAATCCTGCATTGTCCATGTTCTTGGTAACACTATCAGCATCAGAACTACTGCTGCAATTTATACTATTTCTTGCCATCAACCTCCGATTATTATCATTTGCTTCATTGTCAGCAGCCAGTCCTAATACATAATGTGTCATTTCCATCTCCCCGTTCACTGGCACTGTCTTTCCTAAAGCCTTCTTTTCTTCTTTTTGGGAAACCAAAATCTTCTTATTGGACTCAGAACTCGAACCATTTGCAGACTTTTCCAATGGAGTAGCATCATAATCATTCAAAGAAATCTTAGATCTATTCCAGGTGGCACGTGATCTCAACACAGCCTTGTCAACACTACTGTACGATTTTGAATTCTTAAGCGACTTAGGAACCCAACAATCTATGCAAACTGAAAAGTCGGATTCCTTTTCCCTTTCCTTAAGGCTATAAGACCACGGGCTAGAATGATCATACCTCAAAACGCAGCTTTTGTGGATGCACCTTGCGCAGAGGCTGCATGAGAAACAGTCCAAGTTCAATGTCTCATTGTAGCAGTAAGCGCATATCCGCGCAGAACTGACCAAATTGAAGCACTTCTTACAGAGGAGGACAATCCTCCAGTAACTGTCTAGGGTTCGGAGTCGATCCTTTGGTATCGAGGGGTTGATCCGAGTCCGGCAACCATGGCAGTCGGATAAATTGGGTTGGCCTCTGGTTATCCGCTTGGGTAGCTGATCCAGCCAGGTTGATTCAAATGACGCCGAATTCGAGGGAGATCCGTCGAGGAAACGTTTTCTGGGGGAATGATGTGAACGAACTGACGGAGGAAGATGTGGCACGGCGGCGGAGGGCTTGTTTTGCTGGAGATTTGGGGGTGCCATGGAGATTTCCGGACGAATTTCTAGGGTTTTACAGGAATTCAATCACTTCTCGATTGGGGAAGTCAGGTGCCGGCGTGCCGCTGTTTTTGTTTTGCGGCCAGATTTCGGAATTCGGGTGGGCAACCGTTCAAACCGGTTGTCAATATCCCACTCACATCTTTACAATGCTCCCTTTTACTTTTTACAGTAATTTTTACTTGAGATAACAAAATTATATTCCAAAGTTGTTCCATTCCAATTTCCAAATAAAATAAGACCAAAATATTTATTATCTCCGTTAGTATATTTAGAGCATCTTCAGTCATAGCATTTTATCTTGTTAAAAGTTACGGAGTATAATATAGCTAGCTAAACATTTTTGTTTTTCTTCAAAGGATGTACTTTATTTTAGCAAGTTTGCCAAAAATGACTTTGATTTACTAAATATAACAAGCTTCTCAAACTTTAGCAGGCGAATACTTAAAAAATAAAATAGCAAATTATGGTTGGAAAATGAAATAAAAAAATACTTGTTATATCACTGTTCACTTGTTATAATGTAAAAATATCAAATCCATATAACAAGCATGCTCGGAAATGCTCTCAGGAGGTTTGAATTTTACTATTCAAATTGAACAAATTTTAAATTTTAATTATTATCAATTTGTATGGCATATTAGTACAATAAAATAAAATTTTAAAAATTTTCAACATAATAGATCTAATGAAATCAATATTATACTAATATGCATGACCATTTTTGTTTAATTGACTCAAAGCTCTTCCAATTTGATTCAAAAATATCAAACTAGACAAATACACTGAAATAGAGGAAGAGTATATTTTCGCGTTTCGTCATGTTATCTCAAATGTATGTATGCATCTATTTATTTATTATATAAATGAGATATCACGAAAAAACACTATTTTTTCAAGATAGATACAAATAAGTGTGTAGATTTAAAGTACTTGTCAAGATTTTTATTACACTTTATTTAAGAATTTTAGAGATATTTTTATAAAATTTATGAATTATTTTTACAATTTAACAAATTAATTTTGTTAGATTTAAATTTTATTAAAAGATTGAATAAGCACGTCCCAAACCATGATCCCAAAATAAAAGGGGACAAAGTAGCATAACGTCAAACCATGTCATGATCTCCTAATGAATCAATTTTGAGTTTCAACTTATTTTCAAAGTATACAGATCAAAGATATCTAAACGATGACCTTAGGACTACATTTTACTAGTGGAATTTAAAACCATTGAAGAAGAATTCTTATAGAATATCTATTTACGGATCACAACTCGTGTTTTCAACACAGTGTTTCTAATTCACTTGGAATTTGCTAAATTATGACTTTGAGCCCAACATTAAGTTTATTTTAAACTTCAATTCACTATATATGTATGTACATGTTCACGACAATAAATATTATGGGATCTCAACTTTCTGATTTATAATGTAAATGAACATTTATTTTTGAGATCTCAACTCCTTTGTTTGCCATACGTTGCCTCTAGCTTGGGGGTCTTGAGGTCTGCCTTGTTCGGCCTCGTACACCTTCATTCGGTTGAAGAGCTAGCTCTTTTAGAAAACCCACACTCCCCTGTGGAGTGTCATTCTGTCAGGTTGTACTAAAAATATTTGTTGGCGTCGTATGGACAAGGACACATGTTTTCCTCATCTCCCTAGTTCCTCTTCTGCCCTTTGGGCCACTTCTCCTTGGTATCACCACCCGGTCTCGTTTACAAGTCCAACCCGGAATATGTCCACTCCTAGCTAATTTCTTAACCATCGTGATTCCAAAAGGAATTGAGAATCACATATTTGGACTATTCCTTACACACCTTAAGTTTTGTAGTTCAGCGATAGACCATAGGAATTGCAAACTTCAACCGAGTTTGGCATTGGGTAAAGACTTTCTTCACAACCATATAGAAGATCAAACAAATTTAAGCATTCTACGATTTTTTTTATATAACAATTGTTGTTTTCATTGTGATTTGAAAATTTAGGCTGCCATCGTACATTGGCACAATATTAGAGATTTGCAGTTTTTATTTCACCTTTTTTTAGACACGCCAAATTGAATCATCGGGGTTGACAATCAACTCAATCCAAGTATTGTGTCTTCACATCATCACAAAATCTCTAAAATTGTGTTGGTGTTTGAAGGTAGCCTAAATTTTCAAATCACAGTGAAACAATAATGTTAATATTGAAAACGTAGTAAAATGATTAAATCTAACTTCTATATGGTTGAGAAGAAAGTCTCCACCAAATATTAATGTCCGTTGAAGACTCAGGAGGGGCCATATCCTTGGAGCACCTATTTATTATGTTTAAGACCCTAGACGGCATTGGGAAACAATCAGAGCACTTGGGGACCTACCCACAGCAAAGAAGCTAAGGCACATTTAGATGCATGAAAAAGATAGATAAAGAACGCTAGAAGGTCTAAACAATACCTCAAGAATTGGATAAGACCCTTATAATGATCGACCTCAACCGGTAGCTCGAGAAGGTGACACTCTATCCAGAAAGGGACCCTGAAAGAGTATTAGGGGTGGACGAGGTGACTTGCAGGAAGATAATTAGAGTATTAAGAGAAAACCTATACTCTTTGTGTGGGACTCAAAGGACATTCCAGAAGTGGATCCTTCCATCATTTGCGACAAACTAAACATACAACCAAAGGCGAAGCTAGTTAAGCAGAAGAAGAGGTATATGTCTACTTAGAGAAAGGAGTTCATGGAAAAGGAGATGAAGATCCTTTTAATTAGAGACCGAGCACATCAAAGAGGTGCATTACCTGACATGGCTCACAAATGTGTTCCTTACACCAAAGAAGATTACCTTCTAGATGTGCAACGACTAACTTGAAGGATCTGAATAAGGCATGTCCCATTGACCTTTCCCACTTTCGAGGGTGGATCAATTATGGACGAGACCGCCAGGCATGAATTATTGGCCTTCATGGACGCCTTATAGGGGTACCATCAAGTGTTCATACAAGGATGTTATCATGTGCACCACTTTCATCACCCTCGAAGAAATAAACTAACTACATGGTTATGCCCTTTGGATTGTGTTGCTACATGGTTATGCCCTTTGGATTGCTACACTCACCCATATGATTCCATTACTGTTTGCTTATTTTCTTATTTTTTTAATAAAGTAAAGAATATGCGATATATAATGTTTTCTTTTCACTAATACTCCCTCCGTCCACAAATTATCTTCCCACTTTCCTTTTTCGTCCGTCCACAAATGTTTTTTTCTTTCTTCCTCTCCCTTCTGTTTTGTCCAACCAATCACTCCATCTTCTTTTTCTTCTTCCTCTACTTTTTCTTCCTATTTCTTTGTCTTTCTTCTTCAATCTTTTTCTCTTCCTTCTTTTTTCTTATTCCTTCTCCCCCACTACTAGATCCGACTAGATCTAGATCTGCACGAAAGTGACAATTTTTATTTCTCAGATCTGCGATGGGCAAGTCCAAAAATAGATCTCTGCGTTAGGATGGAAGGAGGTTGCAGGTCTGCGACGGCGGCGGTGGGAGGGGGGTTGCGATGGCAGGAGGTTGTGGAGGGGGAGGGGTGATGACATGAACGTCGACAGTGGCGCTGGAGAGTGGTCGGCGGTGAAGTGACGTTGGGTTGGCAACACCAGTAGAAGGTTCATGGGGGTGGAGAGGGAAAATAGAGTTTAGGGGCATAATGAGAAAGTCAACGTAATTTTCATCACACATAAATTTGCGTGTCCGATCAAACTGGGAAGTTTGTTTTTGGACGGAGGGAGTAATAAGTTTTGACTTACGAAAAAAGCCTAAAGTAGGAGTAAAAAATTGAAAATATATTAAAATAGAAATTACATGTTTTTATTCTCAAAATAGGAGTTAAAATATATATACATGTACGTTACTTAAAATACACATGTATAGTGCCACATTACCATAGTGCAAACTCTTATATAGAAAATAAATACATAATATTTTTATTTTGATATTTTTCTATATTTTAATATTATTTAGACTGATTTCTCTGTTGACTTCCCGGGGGAGGAAGTAAGATAGGATTCAAATACTCCGTACAAAACTATTTTTAAATTTGTGAAACACTCGGCATTCAAGTTGGGGGTTTTTTAGATTTTTATTTTTACAGCAATAGTGGTTCGTATTACTCCGTATTAAAAATTAAGTACTCCTTAAATACTAATCCATCATCCCATTAGGTAAAACCCTACGCTATTTTTTCACTTAAGCGTGAAATTGGAGAAGAAAGCTTTTCTAATTTGCTGCTCAACGAGGGGGAAGACTAATTGCGGGAAGGAGGCATAATTAAAGACGAACGGGTAAATCTTCTATATATTTTCTCGCATTTCCCACTTGTGTTTGTAGAATTACATGTAATCTTTATAGGGAGTATATATACGATCGGTCATTCATTTTTTGGGACCCTGAACAGAAATTAGAGATAAATAGTACTCGGATATGTAGAACTATAGCATGGTTGTATAATTGCACTCCAAGTTTATTACTCCGTAGTAATATTGGAGTATATTTTTATTGTTCATATCATAAATACAATAATCAATTTTTTGCTTATTTTGTAAATGTTTAATTCCAATTTTCTAAAATATATGAGTTTTTTTAATATAAATTTAGTGAACAAAAAACATCATTGAGATTAAATAAGAGTATTAGTCTTTTAAGATTTAAATAGGAATAAACATTGTCATTGTAAAAAAAGAAGCTATCACATTGTCATCATAAAAATGAAGTTAGTTGCCTATGTCATAAGCCACATTGCTATATGCCAATGCCGCGAACCGTTGTCATGGATCACTGAGGTGTCGTTCACCGCCCACTGCCATCGGGTTGTCGGAGTGTTGCCGTCATCTGCCAGCCTCTCACTAGCGTTGACCACCATTGATTTGGCAACGGTGAGCAGTCCACCACCACATTGTCATCACCCTACCACATTGACGCCAAACTATCATGACCCTTCTATTTAGAAAACTAAACTTATGTCATTTCTATTTTTATTTTTTTAGTGTTTATTTATTTGAAATAACACAATTACAATCAAGAATTATGTTTTTTTGATCCTACATTCCTAATGTGAAATATGAATATTCCCATACACTCCGTATATTTCATGAGCTTACAAGTGGTTCCTTCCATTTTTGCAAAAGGTCCAATACTTTTATGATGTCAATGTAGTAAAGTTCATAAAATGATTGTAGACCTAAAAATCACAAAAGAATTTGCATGATACTCTTACATAAATTTCTTATCAATGCTTGTGAATTTGATGGTGGTGCAGGATAGAATGTGGAAAATTGCGGCTGCGTTTGAGTGTAATTTACTCTCCCCCTCTTAAATTAATCTTCTCAGTTACTATTACGGTCTCTCAATAATTTATGATTGTATGTTTTCATTGATGATTTAATAAAATAAAATATTCTTGTCATCCCTTGTTTTCTAGAAACTTTGATGTAATTTTAAACAATGTACTTTGTATTTTTTTTATTTCTATACCAATTTATAAATAAAATCATGTTAAGAGAGATGAGATTTTGCACGTTCTTCTAAATGAGAATAATAACTTGGAACAGAGGGTTCTTTTGTCCCAAATTAATCTTGTTTGTGTTCATGTTTTCATTGGTCACTTGATAAAATAAAATACGGAATATTCTTGTCACCTCTTGTTTTGTAAAACTTTTGATGTAGTTTTAAAAGGTGTAATTTGTACTACGTACTTTGTATTTCTATACTAATTTGTAAATAAAATAATTTTAAAAGAGATGGGATTTTGCATGTTGTTTTAAATGAGAATAACAAATTGGCTTATGCATTTGGAGCCTCAACATTTGCAGTTTTGCATAGACTCTATTCTCTTATGATTATTCATTCCCTTCTTGCGTGCGGCTCTCAATTTCACTTCTTTATTATTGTGTTATTACTGAAGCATAATACTCCACCCCCTACTTCCAAAGATAATCCATCTTTGTAACAATAATTATTAACAATTTATTTTCAATCTTTGCAAATTTTCATGGAATCATGTTCTCAGTAAGGCGTGACTCGAGCAATTGGAAAAACTTTCAGAAGCAGGCAATAGTGTGGAGTAAATACTGTACAAGAAATATTGGAACTTCTGTATCATCTTCATGTGGTTTTGAGAAGGATCCAAGCATACCATCTGTTCAAGAACTTGCCGATGCACAAGTGATATACAGTGTAGCCCGTGCAATGGGTCATAACAAGGTAAATGTTTTGGATTCATCAATGTTTTTTTGCTTTGATCTATTGGTCATCGTCTCATTGGTCTTGGGTTCATCGATGTGTTTTTGTTGTACAATTTCAAGGTTGTGGGCTCGGTTTCGAGCTTTCCATGGCTAAACTAAGTCACTTTTTCTTTGTTTACCTGATGTTATAATTCCTTTAACTTATGTTTTTGCAATGTGGTATCGCCATCCAATTCGCAATGTTCCTCCTTTCCAACAGGAATCACATCCAGAGTCCCATCTAAGAGTTCCTGCAATTGTGAGTGCCCTTAAAAAGATGAAGCTCACTTCAAAGGTATTTAGAATTGAATGTTATTATTATTTTGTGTTTACTTGGTTTTTTTTAGCAACTTTTTTTGAAACCAAAGTACTCAGATTATAATCACCAAATAGATTGTGTACAAACCCCTACCTCACAACAGCAAACTTAAACAACACACTACTACAAACTACTATTATTCAAGACTCTAATATGATATTTGGTAGTAGATATTACCTCTTCTTCTTTAAGCTCTTTTCGGTGAGTTTTAGCATTTCTAGCCTTCTAAATATAGTAACGCGCTGCCACCCAAGTAGCCATAGCTATCTCTCTTTTTCGGTTAGGTTTGATCTGCATAATATTTAGTCCTATCTCCTTGATATTTTCTCATTTGACATTTATCTGCAGCCCTACAAACAGCTCATTGTAAACCCTTCTAGTATAAGTTAATTTGGAGAAGATGTGTTCCTGGTCTTCTTCCTCTTCCTCGCACAAGGCAGACTTAGTATTGGTGTCAATGAACCTTTTCATCCTCATCTTAGTATTGACTCTTTCTTTCATTATCAACCAGACGATAAAGTTGAATTTAGGTAGCCTCCATCTGCCCCACAGCCACTTGATCCAGTAGGGTATGTCTTTAGGTCTTAACATCCAGTTATAACCCTTCTAAACTATATAAGGTTCCAATCTAGGCATCTCGTAGAAATCCTCTCTCGTTTTAGTCATTGTTTGGAACTCCAGGTAGTAATTTTACTTGTTTGGAACTTTTAATCCTGAATTGATTAAGTCCACTCTTCCTGCATAAGAGATATGTTTGTAACTCCAGGTAGTAATTTTACTTGTGATTTTATCAATCAGCTTGTCACAATCTTTGCTAAAGATTCTTGTAGTTACTGGACTGCCCAAGTAAGTGAAAGGGAGCCAACCTAGTTTGTTTCAGTAACTTTGTTGTATATATATAATTGTGTTGGGACTGCGCGTGCCCTCACCCCAACCCTGCATTAGTATGATATTGTCCGCTATGGGCTAACCCCTCACGGATCTATTTTTGGGCACCTCCCAAAAGGCCTCGTACTAATGGGGTTGTGTGAACCTTATATATTTTGGTTCATTTACTCCTAAATTTCCAGTGTGGGACTTGGAGGAATCCCAACAAATTGTTATGCCAATTAATTTTGTGGTTATGAGTTATACTAACTTGGCCTTTGTTATTTGCAATTTCTGTACTTTAATGTCTAATACGAACTCTTCAGAAGTGTGTTAGATTTTATGTTTCGGGATACTCCCTCCGTTCCACAATAAGTGTCTATTAAGGTTTATTAAATACATTTGATTTTGAATGATATGGTATGGAATAAGTTGGACCTTGGGAATTGGTAGCGAAGAGGATTGATGGGTCGACCTTCTCTAGTATGGTCCGTCTTGTTGAAGATTTTGATCGGATGTATTTGTTGTCAAAAGGGTTCTTTTATTTCTTTATCTTATTAGTTATGATTGTCCGATTGTCACAACATAAGATAATAGGGTCATGATTTGGTGCTGCGGCTAGATGCTAATGAATGAAGAGCAATTATTTTAGACATCAGAGCCTAGCAGAATCATGAAAGGACAACACTTTTTTTAATTGAGTTTATAAGTTAACAACATTTACTAGTAGACATGATTCTCTCTTTAGTGGACAAACATGGACTAAAATAGTGACTGAAATCAAACTTCAATGGAAACTTCAATGGCTAAATAATACGGTCCTTCGCATACAGGGGTAAGGTTGTGTACTTGGGTGCATTAACTTCAATGACACTTTTTTATTTAAATTTTGAAGTTAATAAAATTACTTTTACTATCTACAGTCTGTAGTCTGTACCGTGCGATATAATTGAATTTCGGTTATGATGCCATTGAACCTTTCTTGTGATACTTAACTAAAGAAGGCTCACATGCAAAGAGTAAATTCCTCTCTCTTTACTACTATGTCATTATCGTTCATTACTTACTGTTCACGAGCCATTCGAGGTCTCTTTGAGGTTAAGCATACTGTATTGTGAAGTAAAACCATATTTTCTTTTCAGTTCTTATATTTTGTAACACCCATAAACTTTCTTTTGTGTTGTATTTGCTCCTTTAACGTATTCTCATGCCTCTTTCTGCAATAAATTCACCCATGCCAGCTTTAAACGGACTCAAGCTCCAGCCTTAATTACAAGTTCTTAATAGTTTTTTTTTCTATATTTCAGTTCCGTGGTACAGATATAGTTGAACTTACAAATTTCAAGCCTGCTTCTGTCGATGACATTGCAAAGGTTCATTGCAAAGATTATATTGCTGGTCTCGAGCAGGTGTGGTTTTATTGTTGTGTAATTTTATCTTCTTCTCTCCTGCATTGCTTTGTATTTGGTTACTCGAGTCATTCGGAAGTTGGTAAAAATTTGAAGAAATAGGTGAACAAACAAAAGCTCATTGTGCAACCCTTAGCAATACTTGGCGCTGCTTGCCTCGCCCGTTCATAGCTCTAAACGAAAGCTAAATAAGTTGATTAAAGACAAAAGGTAAACGATTTATGGTTATGGGGTAATGTTAATAGCTTCAAATATAATTTAATAGAGAATAGAAGGCTGTAAATCCAACAAGAACTATATAAACTGTTTCATGGAGGAAAAAAATGGACTGAGACTGTTTCGTTGATTATAAATCTTGAAGAACAGAAAATGATTTTCTGAGAAACTCTGCCCTTAACAAGCACACAAGGCTTTGGAGGCAAAGTGTTGAAAGAATTTTAATTTTGCAGTTATTTCTGATTTACAGACTATGGATGAGTTGGCCAAAAGCAGAAAGGCTAAGAGTAAGGGTTCTGATACGGGCTTCACACACATCGATAAATCAGGGCCAACATATGCTACTGCCAGTGTAAGTGTCAAGATGAATAAAATGCTACGGAGTATATCTTTTTCACTTAACATATACGGAGTACAATGTTTTATTATAATGTCTCCAGTTAAGAATAATCTAACCTTTTTTCTCCATTTGCAGACATTCAAGGATTCGCTTTGGGCAGCTGGAGCAGCACTAGCCGTGGTTGATGCAGTGGTGATGTCTCAATACGTCATTTTAGTCACTTAAAAAAAAGAGAGAAATATTAAAATTTCTCTGAGATATGGAGTTTAAATTTTCTAATGAGTGATTTCAAAAATGATTTGAAGCTGAACTATATTTCGGTAGATACATGGAAATTAGATATCGGAAAAGAGCAGTGATATAAAATCAATCATTTTATTTTATCATATTTCAGGTTGCAGCATAAAAAAAGAGCTTGAATCCTCCAACTGGATTTGCTCTGATAAGACCTCCGGGGCATCATGCTTTACCAACAAGTGCTATGGGGTTTTGTGTTTTTGGCAATGTGGCCATTGCGGCACGCCATGCGCAGCTTGCGCATGGATTAAAGCGAGTATTTATCATTGATTTTGATGTTCACCATGGGAATGGGACAAGTGATGCTTTTTATGAAGATCCAGATGTGTTCTACTTGTCCACTCACCAAGTAACATATACATTCCCCTCAAATCTACACATTTTGTAATGGTTCTTCATATGAACCATTGTTCTTTGTTTAGCCAATCCACTGGTGGAAACTACATAACAATTTCCTTTTCACTAGGAATTGATTTTTCCAGGCACGGGTATAATTCCCGAGGTAGGTTATGGAGACGGTGAGGGTGCAACGCTAAATTTGCCTTTGCCCAAAGGCTCAGGAGATTATGCCATGAGGAGTGTGTTTGATGAAGTCATTGTGCCCTGTGCTCAGAGGTTCAAGCCAGATATAATTCTTGTCTCCGCCGGGTAAATTATCTACTGCCCCATTGCTTTGTATTGTTCAAGGTAAAATCATCATATAGCTCAATACAACAAGAACAAGAACCAAGAACAAGAATCTGTCATCTATTCCACATTCTTATGCATTTTCCTCCAAGGCACCAAACATCAGTTAAGCTAAAAAAAACATAGCCAAAAATCCAAAATGCATCACATTTTTCATCTTCTTTTCCAGGTATGACGGTCACGTTCTTGACCCGCTAGGGGATTTGCAGTTCACGACGGGAACATATTACAAGCTGGCCTCAAATATCAAACAGCTCGCCAAAGATCTGTGCGGGGGCCGCTGCGTTTTTTTCCTGGAGGGAGGATATAACCTTGATTCTCTGGCAAATTCAGTGGCGGAATCTTTCCGAGCCTTGCTTGGAGAGAAAAGCTCGGCGAGCGAGTTTGATAACCCTGCCATCCTGGCTGCCGAGCCATCCGCAAAGGTGATCAAGAAAGCGATTCGGAGCGTTAAATCCATACACTCCCTCTGAATCATCATCATCATCATCATCAAACATACATATGAAGTCTAAAGGGAACACCATTCTTGAAAATACATTTTATTTTTTTTTACTAATCCCAAGAAATTGAACAACAAAAATTCCCAACTTTTTTAGACTTTAAAATGACACAAGTCTTATTTGCCTAGTTCTATGTCACACAAAAGGCCTATATATTGGACTTACTAGCTTTGGTAGCCATCAAGAATGAGTTTTTTTGGCTAATTTTGACTTTTGATGAATCCTTAATTAATCATCTATGGTGCATATATGTTCTTCCTTTTACGATATAAAGAAAGTATGAAAGACCGCAGTAAACGAAAAAGATGCATTTTTTTTAATCCGTTTTACCGCTCTTGTGTCTCCAATCAACTTGTAACAACATAATTAACTATGATTTACTACTTTAAGAAAACTGAGTAAGGTAAATTAATTAAGGTCTTTCTCTAGCTAAGTGCGCTTGATATATGGTGTGCCCCCCATAGCCATAGGTGTGTAATCTTTGAAATTTTTATTAGATTAAGGGAAAAAGGTATTTTGTGCTTATTATTCATTTATTGCTGATATTTTTTTTTTAATATTAATTCGGTATGGTTCATGATGATTTGATATTACTTTCCGTATAAATTGAGATAAATACATGCAAACCTAGTTTATACTTCAAAATATAGCAAAACCATTTACTCCGTATTTTTGAAAATTTGAAATATAAATAATTAAATGCAAGATTTAACTTATTACTTTGTACAATGCATTTCAATAGCAGAATCTTATTTCAATTCTTGTTGATATTTTTAAATTCATTTACAAAAAAGTAAAACTCAGAGTAAAAGTATGATTTACACATAATAAACTTGAAAAAACTAATTTTTGAAAATTCACGAATTCACGAAACGAAACAGAACAATTTAATTACAATTTACACATAATAAATCGTATTGTTTCCAAATGCCGAATTTACACGTGCCTTTTGAGGTAGCCAACAAATAAATGAAGTGATCATGCATTCAAGCAGGCTATATACATTTCTTGAGGTCATCAAGCTAACTAATTAATTAAGCTTATTGGCTCCTTTTTTTTAAAAAAATATTTTAATATTTTAGGTTGTCTTACTTTGGCTGGTTAATTATGAAATGGGCAAATACTCCCATTTCTAGACGTTACATTTGTTAATACGGATCGGAGTAGTATACACGTCAAGTTACACATACATCTGACTGTATCCTTAACAAGATTTTGCACCTTTTTTTTGCTTGTTCAATAATTTAATTTACTATATATAGAGTTTATAAATATTGTTCCTACCATATGAATTTAATATTATTAAATATATGTTGATATGATGTTACTCTCTCGGTACCTGAGTATTGATCCACTTTTGACTTTGTTTCGATCAAAATTGGTAAACTTTAACCTCAAGTTATACTATTAGATATTTTATACAAAAATACTCCGTATTACTACATTTTTATAATACTCGATTTAATTCTACTTTGAACCATACCGATATTAATACAGAAATACTCCGTATCGTTCAACAGTATGTTAATTCGGTATGATTCAAACTTCAAAGTGGAATTGTTATAAAAACGACATATAAGTATAAAGAAATATAAATTAGATAATGAACATTCGATAAAATGTTACATAAAATATGAAAGTTCACATGAGAAAAATAAATTCAAAAGGAATGTTTAAAATAGAGTCCATAGTAATCAAAAACTCTAAGGTCCCGTTTGGTACATGGAATTCAAACTATGGAATTGGAATTGGAGACTTCAATTCCAATTCTGGTGTTTGGTAGCACAAAAATTATGTGGATTTGGAATTGATAGTGCAAAAAATGAATTGAAATTGACGGAATTCAATTCTATGAAATTGAATCTCATAAAATTTCAATTCCAATTCCACCAATTCCTTATACCAAACGGACCCTAAGTAAACCTAATGGGAAGGAACAACTACGTACTCAATTAAGGAGAAATTTATACAGATGGAGAGCATATTCCTTTCCTCTCATAATACGGAGTAGTGCTGTTTAATTTCCCCATAATTTTTGAGACACAAGGAGTATATGATGACATCATGTGTTCTATTTGAAGTACGAATCATTTCAGAATTAAATGAAACATCGCGAGATTTTCAAATGTACGAAATTTCAGTGGGATGTAAAAAGAAATTTGGAGTCATCTTATTTTATTAGGTTGCTAATCCAGCAGTACCAACGAGCTTAGAGATCCCAAAAGTGATTCCCATGGCGGCTAACCCTCCAACCAAAACCCTTAAAGAAGACTTCACATAGGGTGCCCTCCCAAGGTAAGCCCCCAACAAACCAAACCCTACCAGCGCAAGGCTCGAGGCCCCCACCACCACCCCAAGCCTCACGGTGTACTTCTTTATGAACGCCGCCGCCAGCAGCGGCACCACCGCTCCCACCACGAAAGCCGAGGCGGACGCCGCCGCCGCCTTTGCCGGACTGGGCAAGCCCTTCTTCTTCTTCTTTTCCTCCTCGCCGCCGGAGCCAGTGCCGTTCTTGAGACCGTCTCGCCTCATCTGGGCCACCTCGATGTCATATTGGGAGTAGACCGACACGAACTCTCCGATGGCCATGCTGGAGGCTCCGGCGACCATCCCGGCTATTCCGGTGAGGACCATGATTTTGACGTCGGAACGGAACGCCCCGACGCCCATCATGAGAGATGACGTCGACAGGAGGCCGTCGTTGGCTCCGAGCACGGCGGCTCGGAGCCACTGAGCCCTCTTGGAGTAGTCGACCCCCACCTCATCGCCGCCATCGGGCCGCGGCTCTTGCGGCGGGGATCGCTGTTTCTCGACGTCGTCAACAACTCGTTCTATTTCTATGTGGTTGTTCTCTTTGGTAGTAGTAATATCCATTTTTTTTAAAAGTTTCTTTGAAAATGGTAAGAAAAATGAAGGAATATTTTTTTGAGGGTGGGGAAAGAGAATAGATGCGGAGGAGTGTGGAAGGCACACGCCCAGGGCAACGGGTCATTTATAGAAACCTGAAAGTATTATTTTTCATTTTTTTTATAATTTAAGGAAGTGTGTCCAATTTTACCCTTGATGTGATGGGTAAAAGTAAGATGTGATGAGTAAAAGTAAGATGTGATGAGTAGATTATTAGAGAAAAAGTATGATGTGATAGGTAGGGTATGAAAAAGTAAGGGTAAAAGTGGGTTTTTAATAGAAAGTGAAAGTGTTTTGTTGGAAATGTCAATAATAACCTTAAACTTTAGCACACATTTAATTTATTATTTCTTTTTGAAAAAAGAGATTTAAAAGTTTAAAATAAAGGTATTCTTGAAAAATTGATACTTTTTTTCTACTCTTAAATAAACGTGTCAACAAAGCACGAGAAGAATAACTCCAGATGGAGTGTTCATAATTAATTACTCAAAATTTCTCTCACGTCTCTTTATTTGAAAGGGCACGAATGCCCTTTCATTAATTTTTTTGATATGTGTATTGCTCCGTAACTTTTTGATACTTTTTTTCTACTCTTAAATAAACGTGTCAACAAAGCACGAGAAGAATATGTCGAGATGGAGTGTTCATAATTAATCAATCAATCAAATTTTCTCTCATTTCTCTTTTTTTGAGAGAGCACGAATGCCCTTTCATTAATTTTATGATATGTGTATTGCTCGATAATATTTATGCATGCCTAATAGTTTTGACTAATAATTACGCAATTGTGTTTTTATGATCATAATAATATCTATATATAAAACGTGGATTGTTGTTCATTTTTCATGGGCCAATATATTTTCTTTTTCAAAAGGAATATGGTTAGGATGGGATAAGAATTTGCTCTCAAAGTAAAATTTAAAAGAAATGCGGAGTAATGTGTAAAAATGAGGCGATGTTTATTCCTTTTAAACGCGGAGTAGGTAAATAACTTTAACAATGCTCCCTCCGTCCTAGCCTCCTGTGGCTCAGAAGATTAAAAAAAAATCTTTTCTTGGGTGTTTTCTAACAAAAACTTTATGCATAACACGTTTCCTATACCATGTAGGATTCGGTCAAATTATTTTTTTTATTTTTAAAAATATTTATGAAGATATACTTCCTTCATCTAAAAAAACTCTCCTTGTTTTGATTTTTTCATTTAAACAATGTCACTTTTTGACCACAAACTAAGTATAATCTAAAAAAAATAAATGTTATAAAAATTTGTTATATCAAAACAATATTCTAAGATTAATCCAATTATATTAAATTTATATTATAATCCTATACATATTTTTTCTCACATTTTATAGTCAAAGAGTATCAATGTTTGATAAAAAATCAAAACATGGAGAGTTTTTAAAGACGAATGGAGTATTACATCGTAATAGAATCTATCATTAGTATTCAAAAACGATTCTAACTTTGTAATTAATGGTTTAGAGTCGCTCTGGCATTACTTACGAAACATTTTTTGACAATTAATGTGGAAAATAAGAAAATACAAAGTAGTAATGGAGAAATTTAAATACAATTAATGGTTTAGAGTCGCTCTGGCATTACTTACGAAACCTTTTGTTGGGTTGGAGAGAGTATATTGTTGTCACATCTTGTGTGGATAATCAGACCTTTTCATGTAACTTTAAATATTTTTCCTCCAAACAAACTTCACTCTATTTTTGTTATCCCAACTCTTTTTTTTTTTGAAAGATGCAATGGATGGCCTATAACTCTATATTATTTCTCTATTCTATGTATCAATCTCAACCAAACAATAATTTTTTTTAATCTTTGTGAAAGACAAGGGGAGAACTTTAATTTGGTACGAGTATATGAATTTTAGCATCATCAACTATAATTATAATGTAATAAATTCTAGAATACTCCATCTACACAAATTCGTTACCTTGTATTCCTCAAGCAATAAATCATTATTTATTATTTTTACAAAGAAACAAAAAGAAAAAAAACAATGAACAAAGACAATTCGATCCATACAGGTTGGGTACAGAAGAACACAAATTACAACATCAGTCCCTAAACAACTTGTGTATCTTTTCTTAATGCACTAAAAAAATCAACCTGTTCCCAAACGCTAGTGACCACAGGTAGTACAGGAGGATCATAAAAGCAATTCTCCTCCTGCATATTATTGTTCAAAGGTAGAACCGGGGTGGGATACGATGGCGGGGTCACCAAAAATATTCGTTCCTTAGAAGCCGTGTATCTCATCGCTGCCCGTTGCATATGTTTGAAAACTCTCATGCGAGTATTACACTCTACAATGCCTTGCTTGTGCTCTACGAAGACGATGTCAGGATTTGTGGGATGGACACAAATGTCTTTTACAGATACTTGATCCGGTTTGAGCGCCGTGTTCAAGCACATGTCACTTAGAGAGAACATGTGTACGGAAGCCCATTTCCTCCATCCGTCCTCTTCCTCATCGAGATCCCATACCATCAGATCAGACGTCACACCATCCTCGTTGTCAGGGGGAGGGAAGAGCCCAGCTAGACGTAAGCGCCCACGGCACACTCCAATGGCAACACATCTTACATCAGAATCAATAAAGCCCAGAGGTATATCGAAGAGTACGGGCTCCTGCTCCAAATCTTTGATATTGTACTTGATAATGTGCCTTATGTTGCAATACCACAAAATGCCCTCGTGGAGACAACTCTCTTGTAGCCAAAAACGATGTCTAAAATAGAAGCCTCGAGGGATCGACAAAGCTAAAGTCCTCCATTTCCCGACCTTGGAGGAAAAGGATTCAACATTCACCGATGAACGAGAACGGTTATTACTTGGCATCTCATCAACCATAATCAATACATTGTACTCATATTCTGGATTGTAAATACTATCATGCGGATCTTCTTCGTAAAAGTTGGTGGGGGAATAGAACTGAAAGTTTGACCCGTAAGCGCAAGATCGAGGAGGAAGAGCAACCCATTGCCTTGTTATTGGATTACAAACATAGTAGTAATCTTTACCGTCCCCGGAATGAGCCCGCTTAGGGGGACAACTCCTCTTCTTGGAGTGACCGCAGAGAAACAAATCTCCCGATACCCTCAAAACCCGCATCACTTCCCCTTCCCTCTTCGGAAGAAAATCAAGCGACCTATTGAGAACACGAGCCTTCGAGTCTTTATCTTCTTCCTCCTGATCAAAACATCTACCTCCTCCAAACTCATTACTCATGTAGTTCTTTTGGTCGGTGAGGTTCAAGATGAGATAAGGTTCTTGTTGAACTTGATTATTAAGACGGTTGAAGGTCATGAGTCTCTTGAGGAAGGAAGGCTGTGACACTGAAAGCAACCAAGTCGTGCACACACACAAGCATCCCCGTGACTCTTTATAGGAGAGCCGGTGAAGAATCTCTTCCAGTAAATCGTGGCTGAGGTCCTCTATGCTTGCAGTCATACTGTAAATACTCTGCAGTAAATAAATACGGAGTAAATCAGAATTTTTTTTCTTCAGATTCTTGCAGCCATGTGATATATATGGACTTGTGGTCTGCAGGCTGCAGGTGTATGTAAAACATGAAATGTTAATCATATTAAGAGGGGGGACAGGAGTGGGTTCCGAAAGAAAAGGGACATTTGATTCCTATTGTGCTTCTGAATAGGAGAAATTTAAGAATATGATTCATTCAGTTTGAACCATTATATTGGTCGTAAACTATGAAAAATATATGATGCAGGTCATACCCACTGCCTTCCAAATAAGGTTCTCCTTTAACATCAAACTATATTTTATTACATTTATATTGGAGTATATTTTTATTGTTCACCCCATAAAATAGTTGAATTAATGATTATTTTTCAGAATTTTTATAAGATTTTTTTAAGTTTTAAATTTATTACATTTAAATTAAATTCGATTAGCAATGCAAACCTTTTTTACTCTATCGGAGGTGATAGAGAAATCAATGCAACACTTTGACGAGTGATAACTATATTTGTACATAAATAAAAGGAGAACTCTCTATATATGAGTAAAAAAAATATAAAAATACTGAAATAGGAGTAATGAGTCTTTTAAGACCAAAAGAAGATTTCACACCGTCATTGTCAACTATCACCATACTGCCATCCGCCGGTTGCCAGAACGCCGTCGCCACTCATCTGTATTGACCGGCCACACTATCATATTACACTATCCTCAATTATCCATCACAATGCTATTACATTCCTTTTTGTGAGATTAAACTAGGTGACCCTTATTTTAGAATTTTAGCTAAATAAAAGAGATTTCTTTAACTAAATGATATAAATTTGATATATCAAAACTATATCTTAAAAAAGAATTGAACTATATTAAATTTACATTTTAACTAAATATACTTTTTCTTAAATGACTGTCTGAATTTGAAAATAAAAAAAGAGTAATTGAAAATACACAAAACCATAGAAAGAAATCCCCCCATATAGTAGTAATATGACATTAAAGTGTACAAAATTTGAGTGAAATAATTTGAAGTCCCTAAATAGGAGTGAGACGGTAGTGTGGTGGTATAAATATCACGAGCGAAACTCCGACGACAGATGGCAGTGTGTCGTGGCATATGACATTGGTGTTGACAATAGCAGTATGAAGTATGAATTCGACGACAAATGGAAGTGTGTTGCTTACATTTTTTATTTTCAGTATTCCAAATCTGTTCTTTTTTGTGGAATTCACTTGTTCGCCTTTTGACCGCCCGCCAATCCCTTTGCCTTTCACCTCAAAAAAGGTCCTCTTGCCCGCCTCAAGCCTCTTGCCTTTAATAACTATGGTTTTTACATGTCAACCCAATTCAAGCGCAATCCAAATCAAACAAAATATGTTGACTGACCGTAAAAAAAAGTTGAACCAAATACCATTGACCTGAAGTTGGCCAAAAGATAATGTAACTTGCCCAAATAAAATATGTTGACTGACCGTAAAAAAAAGTTGACTGAAATGACCCACATAAAATTATGATAACTACCCTCCACTTCTTGATACATACACTCCATCTCTTTTTTTTATTAGAATTTGACAAGTTTAGCCCTATATTGTAATAATATAAACAACATAATTTTTCAATTGTTTGAGGCTATATATGGAGTCCCACTAGTAGGGAGCATTAGAGGGTGTGTCTTGGTACTAGTGCTAGCCCGTGGGGAAATGAGAAATGAACAACAGTGGGCAGCAACAGGTGGCCCACTGTCTGGTGGGTAAACTGCTTTCAATACTGAATCTAAGAAGAATGTCTTTTGGGGGGCTTGGGAACCACATAAAAATCTCCTCATTAGAGAGGTAAGCAGAAATTTATTTATTTTCCAGTTCTTCATAGAAGATCAGTTGAGTGTTTTGCAGAAGGGGCCAAGGGCTTTCGATAGTTATCTTCTTCAGATCAAAGAGTTGAACCGGAATGAACAACCAGAGGAAATAGTGTTCTCCTATGTAGATTTCTGGGTGAGGGTCTATGGCTCCATGCTGTTCCATTTCAACAGAGGAACAAAGCTGGGCTAGAGGCTATTTGCAGTAAAGTGGGGAAGTTGATTGAGATGGATGAGTCTGATGTCTCAGGGCTGGGGAAGTCACTAAGGGTTAGAATGAGACGTGATATCAACAAACCTCTCTGTCGAGGGAGAAAGCTAACTCTAGAAGGTAAATCTATATGGGTTTATTTCAAGTATGAAAAACCGACAGGATTTTGCTTCTTCTGTGGGAGACTTGGGCACGTGGGAAGAGAGTGCAGTGAATATGATGAGGAGATCCCTGAAAATGAGTTGCCATTTGGCAATTGGTTGAAAGCTTCACCAATTAAAGGAAAGGGAAGAGTTGATGGGCCTGAGATGGAAAATGCGAACTAGTGACCAATCTGAGAAAGAAACAAGAGGGACTACTCTGGAAGGTGGAGGTCTAATTGGGATGAGTTCACAAGGGGAAGACTTGCGGATGATGGGTGGTGAGGGGTCAGTGGTGTCAGAGGCGTATAAGAATCAGGATGGTAATCATAGGAGAGAAAACAGTGGGTACAATTAAGAAAATGAAGAAGGGTAGGCAAGAGCTTGATGAAGGAGACTTTGCTGAAACTAATGACATGATCATTGAAGTATCATGGAATGGACGAGCCATTCTCCGCAAAGAGAATTAGTCTTTTATGTTTCATCTGTCGGGGGTTGGGCGACCCGCGAGCAGTTGATGATCAACATGAGTTGCTCTGTAGAATGAAGCCCATGCTAATATTTTTTGTCAGAAACTAAATTAGCTACTAGGGAGATGAATAGAGTACACAAAAGCTTAGGGAATTTTTTGGGGATCCACAGGGACGGTATTGGTTGTGCGGCGGGGGGGAGGGGGGGCT